TTTCAAGGGAGTGAATCCTTCAGAGAGTCAAGGGATGCCTCTTGACCTTCTCCATAATTTACTGGAAAGGAAACACAACCGTATGTGAACTGAAATGGTCAGATGGGTGCTTTATTGTGACACAGTAAACCACAGTTGGCCAAAAACTCTTTCCATCCTTCTTCCTGTGTCTAACCTGTAATTTAAAAGGGATGTACCGTCTGCACATGCAGGGTGACTGATAGCAGCCTCAGCTTCTTGAACTAAATCCAGAGGATTCTCGACGTGGTTCAACATCTGTGCTTTGCCAATGCTTCCCTATGATATTAGAAACTCCTTGCATAACAGATGTGGCACGGTTTGTTCTCCTCAAAGTCATGCCTACGACTATCTTGACTCTGTTTCCAACAGATGAACCCACGAGATAAGAAAATCCTGTTTATCCCCCAATAGTCAGCTTTACACTTTGCACAAGTAAATTTCATTCAGTTTCTATTTTGCCCGTTCATGAATTCACCACACAGAACTTCATACTCCTTTTTCAGTATTACAATTTTGCAACTTGGTTTCACCCTCATTTTCAATAGATGCACACCACAGGAAACCAATGAAAATACTGGGTGAAATAGGGCCAGGGACTGATACTAAGACAGACTCACCGTTACTTCTCTCTCATAAGCTCTGCCTTTTTGGCAAAGTGCTCCATTTTATTTCCTTTAAATCTCCTACCTAATCTTAAAGGAAATCAAGCCTGGCTGCTCTTTGGAAGGCCAGATACTGAAGCTGAAGCTCATATACTTTGGCCACCTAATGAGAAGGAAGGACTCCCTGGAGAAGAGTCTAATGCTGGGAACAATAGATGGCAAAAGAAGAAGGGGACGGCAGAGGATGAGGTGGCTGGATGGGGTCACTGGAGCAGTGGGTGTAGGCTTGGGTGGACTCCAGGGGATGGTGGAGTACAGGAGGGCCTGGTGCACCATTTGTAGGGTTGCGAGGAGTCGGGCACAACAATTAGGATAGGGAATGGCTTGGTGCTGATCTTTTCTAGTTTGGCTGTTCCAGCTTCTTACATGCACAAGGATACTTAGGGCCCAGCATTCAAAGAAGCTTCAACAAGAGGACAAAATTTCAACTGGCTCTCGAAGCCACCTAGGAAGGCCTTTTTAAAATCATTGTTGGTCTGTTGTGTTTTCTGAATCCAGTCTTCTAAATAGGCAGCATATAAATATGTGCTTAAATAAATAAACTGGGGAGGCCAAGGCAGATTAAGGGCTCCTATTGCAAAGAGTGCAGTAAGACAGAGAAGGGGGTGCTGTCGGAGCGTCGGGAATTTAGTCAGGAGGAGCGCACAGCAGATTTATTAGCTTGAGCCCTCAGGTACCCTCTGCAGAGGGAAACCTTACCAACAGCGCTGCTGCGTGGCGGTTGAGACCAGCTGCAAGCTCCCAGAACATGTGCAGAGTGTTTTGAGGGCGAGTCCCGTGCCACAGCAGCAGGGCGCGGGGGTGCCACAATTAGGGGAACATCAAAAGACCGGGAGAGCTCTGCGGGGAGGCAGTGGCGCCGATCAGGAGAGACTGGCCGCAGCATGCAGGAAGGCCAGGCTCCCGCTATGGCTTGATCGTGCGGTGCGTGGGGCTGCAGCGCCGCCATAAAACCTCCCTGGCCCCGATCCGTTTTGGTGCTGCTGGCCCAAGAAGAGCCGCTCCGCGCGGAGCCGCCGCGCCAGCAGCGCCCCGGCTTGCCACGCAGGGCATGCGGCGAGACCTACGGGGCTTTGCCAGCGGGGTGCTGGGGGGCACCCTGCCGGGCTCGGCTTCGGGGGCCGCGGGAACCTCCCCGCCCGGCCCCCTGCTCCAG